TGTGATAAGGTCTCAGGCACCAAGGTCAACAGTGTACAAGAAAGAAGTACTGCTGGGGAATGCGCTGAAAGCGTCATGCTTTGAATTGAACAACTGATGTTTTTATTTTTACTCTCGTTGGCAGTGGCTGTTGTCAGTGGTGGATATGCTTGAAACAGTCAAAACAAGGAACACATGACACCCCTAGACTATAGGAGTGGGTGTAAAGCATGGGGAAGCACATCTAAGACAGGAGACATTATAACCAACCTCTCATGGAAAGAATTAGTAAAAGTACCTTGGAGTGGCTGCTGCATCGGAGGACTGAGCACATATGGGAATACCCAATGTGCAGTTACGTCAGTTGTGATAACATAACAAATCATTGATAGACAATAATAAAAGTAGGAAGACAACAATAAGAGACAGATGAACAATAAGACACACAAAAACCCAGTGTGTTAGAAATCTATTGCAGACAACCTTCACTGTGTAGACAGTACTAGGTTGATTCACTGATTGACTGACGTAAATAAAGTAGATAAATATATCAACCACCTAGACCAGAAGTAGTTACAGGAAACATGTGATTGGTTGTGCAGACTGGGTTAACATAAGAACTTCCTAAAACAGAAAGATTTTAAGTACAGTTTTAATATAGAGGTTTAACATAACAAATGTCTAGAACATAAAGAACTAAAGTAAAATTTTATATAGAGGTTTAACATAACAAATGTCTAGAACAGAAACAACTGAAGTACAATTTTAATATAGAGGTTTACCATAACAAATTTATAGAACAGAAAGAACTGAAGTACAGTTTTAAAAAAGACGGTTTCCATAACAATTGCCTAGAACAGAAAGGTTTGAAGTACAGTTTTAATATACATAATAACTATCTAGAACAGAAGGATTATAAGTATAATTTTAATATAGAGGGTTAACATAAGAAAAGTCTGGAATAAACAGATTTTAAGTATAATTTTAATATAGAAGGTTACATAGTTGTCTAGAACAGTTGTCAGTAAAGTAAATATCTGGATAGCTGTGCAGGTATGGTAAACTCTTTCAGTACCAGAGGAGAGTTAAATTAGTTGTAAATCAACACAAAATGTGTGCGTTGGTGCCAAAAGAGTTAATTTAAAAAAAAATTAATTAAAGGACCCTTCTCCCCATAGGTATCTTGGGTATATAGTACATGATCTATACTTTATAGACCAATTATGACTCGGTGGGTAATGTGATTTAAACAGGAGGCCACCTTTACGTCCCAGAACATTACCTGGCAACCATTTAAGGTTAGTTGACCTGGTAGCCAAGGTGAGTTTTCAAAAGAAATTAAACTCAATGCAAATTGGAACCCATGAATTTCAGACCAGCAGGTTAGCATCAAGCTTGTCCACCACAGCAACTACCTTAAAGAGTTCATACAACATTATATTATATATGCAGTGATGAGTGAAAATATGATAAGACTTTAAAAATAACATCCTCTTATCAAGAAAAGCAAACATATTTCTGTGAAATTTACTTGAATGATAATCTCAGTATTTAATAGCATGCTAAATTCAAAAATCATCATGTCTTAAGCTACAGCAGCACAATGGAAAAACGTTTTTCTCATTACAACCTGGCAATAAGACTCCTAGCCATTTTACTATCCTCTACCTCAATTATTTTCATGCTCAGATGTCTCCATTTATCCTGTGTTGACTTCATGCTGGTCAATGCTGGCCTATTTTGCATGCCTACTATTACTGTTCTTTCCAAACATTGTACGTTTAGTTTGGCTGAAGTATTTCAGTTTCTGAGCCAATGATGGTTTTTTTTTTTTTTTTGGTAGGCATTTTTCTTTGGTGTTCAGATCTTGTACAATTTTATGGGTTTTCTTCTTTTTCCTATCCAAAGTCTGCTAAGAGCTTCTCTATAATAAATTCTGCTAAAAAAATCCAAATTGTAATGAAAAGTAACAATATTATGTTAAAATGACCAACACTAAGTATAGACTCTAGGATAATATTTTGTTTTGTTAGAGAACTTTGCTTTGAAGTTAAAGCCCGTCTGCCTGTGGAGCAAGGCATCAACAGTCTGCACACAATATGCCAAATCTGGAAAATGGATGTCTTCACAACAATGAAGTTTTGGAACAAGATCAAAGTATGATATAGATAACCAACCAGGATTTTCACCAGAGTTCACAGCTGATGAATGCAGAAATTGTATTTGTAGTTTGGGAACTCAGTTTAGAGTTGATGAATGCAGAAGTTGTCTACATTAGTAGTTTGGGAACTTAGTTTAGAGTCGATGAAGGCAGAAGTTGTCTACATTAGTAGTTTGGGAACTTAGTTTAGAGTCGATGAATGCAGAAGTTGTCTACATTAGTAGTTTGGGAACTTAGTTTAGAGTCGATGAAGGCAGAAGTTGTCTACATTAGTAGTTTGGGAACTCAGTTTAGAGTCTATGAAGGCAGAAGTTGTCTACATTAGTAGTTTGGGAACTTAGTTTAGAGTCCATGAAGGCAGAACTTGTCTACATTAGTAGTCTGGGAACTCAGTTTAGAGTCGATGAAGGCAGAAGTTGTCTACATTAGTAGTTTGGGAACTTAGTGAGTCGATGAAGGCAGAAGTTGTCTGCATTAGTAGTTTGGGAACTTAGTGAGTCGATGAAGGCAGAAGTTGTCTACATTAGTAGTTTGGGAACTCAGTTTAGAGTCGATGAAGGCAGAGGTTGTCTACATTAGTAGTTTGAGTAACTCAGTTTAGAGTCGATGAAGGCAGAAGTTGTCTACATTAGTAGTTTGGGAACTCAGTTTAGAGTCGATGAAGGCAGAAGTTGTCTACATTAGTAGTTTGGGAACTCAGTTTAGAGTCGATGAAGGCAGAAGTTGTCTACATTAGTAGTTTGGGAACTCAGTTTAGAGTCGATGAATGCAGAAGTTGTCTACATTAGTAGTTTGGGAACTCAGTTTAGAGTCGATGAAGGCAGAAGTTGTCTACATTAGTAGTTTGGGAACTCAGTTTAGAGTCCATAAAGGCAGAAGTTGTCTACATTAGTAGTTTGGGAACTCAGTTTAGAGTCGATGAAGGCAGAAGTTGTCTACATTAGTAGTTAGGAAACTTAGTGAGTCGATGAAGGCAGAAGTTGTCTACATTAGTAGTTTGGGAACTCAGTTTAGAGTCGATGAAGGCAGAAGTTGTCTACATTAGTAGTTTGGGAACTCAGTTTAGAGTCGATGAAGGCAGAAGTTGTCTACATTAGTAGTTTGGGAACTCAGTTTAGAGTCGATGAATGCAGAAGTTGTCTACATTAGTAGTTTGGGAACTCAGTTTAGAGTCGATGAAGGCAGAAGTTGTCTACATTAGTAGTTTGGGAACTCAGTTTAGAGTCCATAAAGGCAGAAGTTGTCTACATTAGTAGTTTGGGAACTCAGTTTAGAGTCGATGAAGGCAGAAGTTGTCTACATTAGTAGTTAGGAAACTTAGTGAGTCGATGAAGGCAGAAGTTGTCTACATTAGTAGTTTGGGAACTCAGTTTAGAGTCGATGAAGGCAGAAGTTGTCTACATTAGTAGTTTGGGAACTCAGTTTAGAGTCGATGAAGGCAGAAGTTGTCTACATTAGTAGTTTGGGAACTCAGTTTAGAGTCCATGAATGCAGAAGTTGTCTACATTAGTAGTTTGGGAACTCAGTTTACATCAAAGTTAAGCAAATTATTATTTGTTTATTTGTTATAGTTTTTTCTAAACAATAATATTTCAGATGAATAGCTGCTGATGGGATGTTCAACCTCCTTGTACAAGAACTCAAATATGAGAAGCTGCTGATAGAATATCCAGTATTCTTGGACAAGAGCAGATGATTAAGAAGCTTCAAGTGCACATTGCCTGTTAGAAACTGTTTGGGTAGATAAATATTGTAAAAAGTAGGTCAAAAACAGACATACCCTGAGAACATTGGAAAAATAAAAAACTCTCCTAGCAACAGAATATTTCTACTATTTATAGATACAACCCCTGGAAAAGGTTGGGTTTGGATGGGTTTTCCAACAAACCTGAACAAACCACAAGTATGGGAGCCAGAGTAGCTGGCCTGCTTGTTTAGTGGCCCTGTGATCGTGTCATCCCTTCAAGCAAGCACAGATTTTTTTATGTCAGTTACCTAGCCATGAGGTAGACCAAGAACAAAATGGAAAGATAACATCAGAGACACTCTAAAACAGCATGATGCTCCTATGGTTGAGGCGGCCAAAAGAGCAAGAAGCAGAATCTTATATTGCTTTCTAAACCCGAAGAGGTAAAATATGAAGTAAAGAAGAAAAAGAAGAAGAAGTGACCTAAAATTAACTCAAGCTAAACTGTGCGCAGACATTTTCTGAAAATTGAACCTGACTAGTATGATAGTGATTCTATCAGCCCTCATGTGCTAGCATCAGATACATAAGGTTGTTCATGACAGGGAAAAGGGTATTTTACTTTTTACGTTAATGCTATAACATCAGCTGGGTCAGGTGGAGTGTGGGGGAGTAGTCTTAATTACCTCATAGCTTTTGGGAAAAATAAGGATGGAAAACAGACTGTGGGCTAATGTTTCAGTCATCAGATAAACTAGGACATTTGAAGGCAACATGTCTGCTAATCAATGACTACCAAAAATGAAAAGAAAAAAAAAGAGCCATTACTACCAGTATTTCCCACTTTTGCAGGTGGGGGTTTTTGAGCTTCAGGATTTTGGGCCTTATGGCTAGTGCTGTCACCACAGACTATTAGTATTTTATTTTTGCTGCCCACCACAGAAAAACTCCCAGTCTTAGAGAGGGTTTGAATCCAGGTCTCCTGCTTAAGAAACTCAGCATTCTAATTGTTCGGCCAGAAGCTCCTCAACCTGATGCTGCACATTCATATCACAGTCTTTGGTGGTAGGAATTTAATTACTTTGCTTCACAACTATTTAAGAAATTCTGTCTACGCCATTATTTTACAGGCTTTCTGGAACTTTAAGACCCACAAAGATCACCAGAAAAATTCTACTTAATGTCTTTTAAGCCATTCCGCTGAGCTTCAGTCATAAATTGAACAGCAAAATGAGGAAACCTCTCACTGGATTCTGTCTCATAAAACCTTAGAGGTAATTCATAGATATCTTTCTTCATATTTAGTAACCCTTGATGAGGAAAACCAGAACTACCAATGAAAGATTCCAGAACCTGTAATGAGTGGTCCAGCAAAGAAAGTCTCGGATGGATGGAATAAACTAAACGGTTTTCTACAGCTTCTGCAGCTGTGTAGCGATGAGCAAGAATAAGAGCCTCAGATAAATTTCTTCCATCTCCAATCTTCATTCTGTAAATAAAGTAAAAGACAAAAATAACATAGTTATAACCTAAAGCAAAGTCACATTATATAAAGAATTACTTAAATACACAAAAGACAACAAGCAAATGATTAGACCATAGTCTGTGTTTGCAACATTCATGATCATGTGAAGAATGACTGAATTTAAAAATATCAACCAGGAAGTTCTGTGAAGAGGAATACATACAGGCAGCATCGAACATTCTGACTAAAGTCCCTCGTTGCTAAACTCATCATCATGTGATTTGCCAGATTGTGTAGGCACTCATGTCTCTCCACAGATCTCCATCCTATGTGTTCTGTTCTATAAAGGAAATTCCTCAATGCCATTGTTGTTGACCATCTAGCATAATTTCTCTGTCTTATCTACTAGAAGTCCTTTCCACCACTGTGGTGTTCTTCAATACCTCTGATAGCATCACAAATCCAAACAATAGTTTGTCTATTTCCTGTAGTTAGATAAAATATTCTACTATCATTTTTGTTTTCAGGTAATCAATGTTAGTTGGTCTGGTTACCCAAGGTATGCACAACATTCATTCCCCAGAGAGAGACCACTGGGATCAGTGCAAATAAAGTTAGTTAATCATCTTGTCTTTGAGCCTCTTTCTCCCCGTGTGTGTTCTGGGGCCCCATTGTGGGGAAAACAAGAACAGATCTACTGCCTCCCCAACAAGTATGTCGTAGAAGCTGACTTTTTGAGGCTTCCTTCGAAGTCGGAGTGCATCTGCCTGAGTGGCAAGGAACAACAAACTGCACACAGAAAGCCAGTAAAATGGATGTACATGCAAAATTCAGACCCTGGTACAAAGCCAAAGTCCAGACGGACAAACAACCAGGACTTACCGTTGCAGCTTATAGCCGGTGAACAAAGAAGAAGTAGAAGAAGAAGAAAACCTTTCATTACACACACCGCATATGTAGCCCCCCAATATTTTCCTAATCGTTTGTTCACATTCCAAGATTCACCAATGTGCACCAGAATGATCAATGAATGCCTGGTGAGATATTTGGTAAAGAAAATGTTTACTTTGTCACTCCACAACTATTTAAACATTTTTATCTTCAAATGCATAATTGAAATCTGATTTACATTTTCAAAAGTTGCACCAGGAAAAATTATTTTCACCTACATGATTTCTAATGTCTGATTAAAAAATATGTGGTATCAACCTCACCCCAGCTGTAGTTGGGGGCCCTAATAAAACCTAATGACTGACTGGGGTTTCTGGGACTGCTACCCAGGTGATTCTCATCCGAATAGTAGCACATTGTGTCACTGGGTATTTATTGCGTCGTTGTGCAGTCCTGGTGGGGTTAATTGTCACTCACTCAAAAAAAATATGCTGTAATGGATTATCATCAACAGTAACTTGCCTTAAGTATTCCTTTAAAAAAGCACTGAATACTTTGTCTAACAGTACTTCATTCAAACAAAGCCATCCTTTCTCTGAGTTCATGGTTCGAAGGTCATGAGCAAAGGCTAGTACAGCCCCTCCTGCAAATGCATGACCTGTGAGGGGAAAAAAATTGAATATTCAACATGATGCAGTCAAAACCCTGTGGGCTAAGTAACATAAAGAGTTCTCTGACTGTGATGCTAACACTGAATGTTATAAACTTGAATATGTATGTTCTAATATGGGAGCAAGTATTCACCTTTTTAGGTAAGGAAAATTGCTGGTGTTGGATAGGACAAGCTCTCTGAAAATCTGATAACTCACACAGAGAAAACCTGATAACACACACTGAGAAAACCTGATAACATACACTGAGAAAACCTGATAACATACACTGAGAAAACCTGATAACATACACTTAGAAAACCTGATAACATACACAGAGAAAACCTGATAACATACACAGAGAAAACCTGATAACATACACAGAGAAAACCTGATAACATACACTGAGAAAACCTGATAACATACACAGAGAAAACCTGATAACTCACACTGAGAAAACCTGATAACATACACTGAGAAAATCTGATAACATACACTGAGAAAACCTGATAACATACACTGAGAAAACCTGATAACTCACACTGAGAAAACCTGATAACATACACTGAGAAAACCTGATAACATACACTGAGAAAACCTGATAACATACACTGAGAAAACCTGATAACTCACACTGAGAAAACCTGATAACTCACACTGAGAAAACCTGATAACTCACACTGAGAAAACCTGATAACACACACTGAGAAAACCTGATAACTCACACTGAGAAAACCTGATAACATACACTGAGAAAACCTGATAACACACACTGAGAAAACCTGATAACTCAAACTGAGAAAACCTGATAACTCACAGAGAAAACCTGATAACATACACTGAGAAAACCTGATAACTCACACTGAGAAAACCTGATAACTCACACTGAGAAAACTTGATAACTCACAGAGAAAACCTGATAACTCACACTGAGAAAACCTGATAACATACACTGAGAAAACCTGATAACTCAAACTGAGAAAACCTGATAACATACACTGAGAAAACCTGATAACATACACTGAGAAAACCCGATAACATACACTGAGAAAACATGATAACTCACACTGAGAAAACCTGATAACTCACAGAGAAAACCTGATAACATACACTGAGAAAACCTGATAACTCACACTGAGAAAACCTGATAACTCACACTGAGAAAACCTGATAACTCACACTGAGAAAACCTGATAACATACACTGAGAAAACCTGATAACTCACACTGAGAAAACCTGATAACTCACAGAGAAAATCTGATAACAAACACTGAGAAAACCTGATAACTCACACTGAGAAAACCTGATAACTCACAGAGAAAACCTGATAACATACACTGAGAAAACCTGATAACATACACAGAGAAAACCTGATACCATACACTGAGAAAACCTGATAACTCACACTGAGAAAACCTGATAACATACACTGAGAAAACCTGATAACATACACTGAGAAAACCTGATAACATACACTGAGAAAACCTGATAACACACACTGAGAAAACCTGATAACATACACTGAGAAAACCTGATAACATACACTGAGAAAACCTGATAACACACACTGAGAAAACCTGATAACACACACTGAGAAAACCTGATAACTCACACTGAGAAAACCTGATAACATACACTGAGAAAACCTGATAACATACACTGAGAAAACCTGATAACTCACACTGAGAAATCCTGATAACATACACTGAGAAAACCTGATAACATACACTGAGAAAACCTGATAACATACACTGAGAAAACCTGATAACATACACTGAGAAAACCTGATAACTCAAACTGAGAAAACCTGATAACATACACTGAGAAAACCTGATAACATACACTGAGAAAACCTGATAACATACACTGAGAAAACCTGATAACTCACACTGAGAAAACCTGATAACTCACAGAGAAAACCTGATAACATACACTGAGAAAACCTGATAACTCACACTGAGAAAACCTGATAACATACACTGAGAAAACCTGATAACATACACTGAGAAAACCTGATAACATACACAGAGAAAACCTGATAACATACACTGAGAAAACCTGATAACTCACACAGAGAAAACCTGATAACATACACTGAGAAAACCTGATAACATACACTGAGAAAACCTGATAACATACACTGAGAAAACCTGATAACACACACTGAGAAAACCTGATAACATACACTGAGAAAACCTGATAACATACACTGAGAAAACCTGATAACACACACTGAGAAAACCTGATAACACACACTGAGAAAACCTGATAACTCACACTGAGAAAACCTGATAACATACACTGAGAAAACCTGATAACATACACTGAGAAAACCTGATAACTCACACTGAGAAATCCTGATAACATACACTGAGAAAACCTGATAACATACACTGAGAAAACCTGATAACATACACTGAGAAAACCTGATAACTCACATTGAGAAAACCTGATAACTCACACTGAGAAAACCTGATAACATACACTGAGAAAACCTGATAACATACACTGAGAAAACCTGATAACTCACACTGAGAGAACCTGATAACATACACTGAGAAAACCTGATAACTCACACTAAGAAAACCTGATAACTCACACTGAGAAAACCTGATAACATACACTGAGAAAACCTGATAACTCACACTGAGAAAACCTGATAACATACACTGAGAAAACCTGATAACATACACTGAGAAAACCTGATAACATACACTGAGAAAACCTGATAACATACACTGAGAAAACCTGATAACACACACTGAGAAAACCTGATAACACACACTGAGAAAACCTGATAACTCACACTGAGAAAACCTGATAACTCAAACTGAGAAAACCTGATAACATACACTGAGAAAACCTGATAACATACACTGAGAAAACCTGATAACATACACTGAGAAAACCTGATAACTCACACTGAGAAAACCTGATAACATACACTGAGAAAACCTGATAACATACACTGAGAAAACCTGATAACTCACACTGAGAAAACCTGATAACATACACTGAGAAAACCTGATAACATACACTGAGAAAACCTGATAACTCACACTGAGAAAACCTGATAACATACACTGAGAAAACCTGATAACTCACACTGAGAAAACCTGATAACATACACTGAGAAAACCTGATAACATACACTGAGAAAATCTGATAACTCACACTGAGAAAACCTGATAACTCACACTGAGAAAACCTGATAACATACACTGAGAAAACCTGATAACATACACTGAGAAAACCTGATAACTCACACTGAGAAAACCTGATAACATACACTGAGAAAACCTGATAACATACACTGAGAAAACCTGATAACTCACACTGAGAAAACCTGATAACATACACTGAGAAAACCTGATAACATACACTGAGAAAACCTGATAACTCACACTGAGAAAACCTGATAACATACACTGAGAAAACCTGATAACTCACACTGAGAAAACCTGATAACATACACTGAGAAAACCTGATAACATACACTGAGAAAATCTGATAACTCACACTGAGAAAACCTGATAACTCACACTGAGAAAACCTGATAACATACACTGAGAAAACCTGATAACATACACTGAGAAAACCTGATAACTCACGCTGAGAAAACCTGATAACATACACTGAGAAAACCTGATAACATACACTGAGAAAACCTGATAACATACACTGAGAAAATCTGATAACTCACACTGAGAAAACCTGATAACTCACACTGAGAAAACCTGATAACATACACTGAGAAAACCTGATAACATACACTGAGAAAACCTGATAACATACACTGAGAAAACCTGATAACATACACTGAGAAAACCTGATAACATACACTGAGAAAACCTGATAACTCACACTGAGAAAACCTGATAACATACACTGAGAAAACCTGATAACATACACTGAGAAAACCTGATAACATACACTGAGAAAACCTGATAATAATATAATTACACTGAAACCCACAGGGTCAAAGGAGCAAAAGCAGAGAATAGAATTAGAGAATTTGGTGAAAAAATACTGGGGAGCACATGGGGTGAGATAAACACAATGGCAAATGACAGGACAATATGGTGTGAGCTGTTTATAAGCCTATACTTAATTGTGAGATAAAGGGCAGGAGAGAGAGTGAGAGAGAGAGAGAGAGAGAGAGAGAGAGAGAGAGAGAGAGAGAGAGAGAGAGAGAGAGAGAGAGAGAGAGAGAGAGAGAGAGAGAGAACAGTGGAGACGTGTGATCAGTTTGCATGTATAAGCGGTTTAGGCTAAATTAATATTTCACAAAGTAAATTATTAATATTCATCATCAAATTCCACATTTGTTGTTAAGCGATTGACAGCATATAAAGACATGAAATGTAGAGTTCTTAATGAGGGAAAGCTAACAGATGCATTTGAAATAAAAACAGGTGTGCGACAGGGATGTCTTTTGTCGTCTCTCTTATTTTTACTGGCTATAAACTGGACTATAAAAACAGTAACTGCTAACACCAAGAATGGAATTCAGTGGACCCCTACAAAGCAGCTTGATGATCTGGACTTCGCTGATGATATTGCTCTTCTTTCCCAGTCATGATCAGATGCAAGATAAATTAAATATACTTGATGTGAGATCACAGCAGCTTGGTCTGAAAATCCATAAAGGAAAGACAAAGATAATGAGATTAAATCAGGCAAATAGTAATGTGGTTTCTCTTAATGGCACCCCACTCCAAGATGTGGAGTCATACACCTATTTAGGCAGTAATGTTGATAAAGATGGAGGAACTGACAGAGATATTAAAATAAGAATACAAAAGGCAAGAGGGGCTTTCATAGCACTAGAGAATGTGTGGAGGTCAAAAGAAATTAAAAGAAATGCTAAACTAAATATTTTTAATTCTAATGTCAAATCAGTACTATTGTATGGGCTGGAAACATGGAGAACAACCAAGGCAATTACTAATAAATTACAGACATTCATTAACTGGTGCCTGTTATGATAGAATAACTAATGTAGAACTTTGGGAGAGAACTAAACAGGCTCCAGTGACCAAGAGGTGGGGAAAAGACGCTGACGTTGGATAGGACACACACTGAGTAAATAGGAGAACAGCATAACTATAATGTCTTTGCATTGGAACCCACAGGGGCATAGGAATAAAAGAAGGCCAAAAAACAAATGGATCAGAGACCTGGAGAATGAAGTTAGAAAGATGGGGAGGACATGGGGGAGAGCTCCTTGCAATGGCGAAGGATAGAACGACTTGGCGTGAGTTGGTTGAGGGCCTATGATCCATTGGGGGATAGAAAGGCAGAAGAAGAAGAAGAATCACTCTCAGTGAGTTATGTGGTTAACTTCCTGTCAGCCGCTCTGATTTCCCAGGACACTTTTTGGTACATATTTAAGTCTGTACCCTCTTCTTCTTCACATTAACCAGCTGTTAACTCAGGTGGAATAATCTGGTTGTTCATTCAATTCTGAACTTTAGTCTTGCTCCAGAGTTTGAGTTTTGTATGGACATCAATTTTACAGCTTTGGCTTTTTGTATGTAGGCTGCTGGTTCCTGGTCTCTCAGGTAGAGGCAGTTCACAGGAAACACCCCCAATTAGTTGCTTTTTACATGCTTGTTGGGGAAGGTGGAGCGGAGGGCAGTGAATCTATTCTCTCCCCCCCCTCTTTAAAAAATGGGGCCCCAGGACCCACATGCGGAAAGGCTGGGTCACCACGGGAGCAAAGGTCAATTTAGGAAAAAATCTGATGCAATGCAGATTTAAACTCAAGACCTTCTGGTAGGGGATCATGCATCTAGCTACTCTGCTACTGTGAGTCCCCAATAATGATGTGGCTGGCAAACATATACCATATTATTTGGTCAAAATTGAAAATAGATAAATGCTTATTGCCAGAAATGAAACATACAAAAACTTACACACCATTGATAACAGCAAGGGTTGGAACTGGTAAAATGAGGACCCTGAGTAACAGTTTCTCAAATTCAGCCATAAAATCTAGAACTTCTTGAGTGGAAATGGTTGCCATCCACTGCAGATCTAATCCATTTGAGTAAAACTTGCCTTCTCCCACAGTCACCAATCCCCTGCACGAATGATTCCTGAAATAAGACACTTCAATGAAAAATAAGGCAGACATGACAGTCCCACAGCAATTTTGTGACAATTCACTAAAGACATTTCACCAGAACAGGTCTTTGTCCATGAATAAGTTCCGCTAATCCTAACAATAGTGGCTAAACAAATATAATATGACTATATAATCTTCAACATTCAATAACCTGAGGAACTGTTAGGCATTAGTTGTCACTGTCATTTACATTCATTGTATGGCTTTGTTCAGTGTTTAAGATTATTAATATTAGCTAAGCATCTGTCTGATCGACTATTTGCATATCTATCAGATAGACAGAAAGACTGACAGAAAGACAGGCAAGCAGGCAGGCAAGTAGACAGACAGACAGAAGGCTGGATGGACGGACAGATGAATGGACAGATAGACAGATAGATAAGAAGACAGGAAGACAGAGAGACATACAGGTAGGTGGGTGGTAGGTAGGTAGACAGACAAACAGATATATAGACAGACATGCAAACAGACAGACCAGTAGCTAAGTGGGGAAAAAAAGGAGGGTGGGGGGGGAATTAGCCATGAAGACAAAAAAGACATATCTGTTATTTTAAGATACACACTTCTGAACACAAATACTGCAGAAAGTTTCCACACATTTTTGTATGGGGCATAAAACTAATGTCTTTGCTAAGGGTCAATAAATTCATAACACATATAAATATTGTGGTCAGTATTTAACTATCAAAAACTTGCTTGTTTAGACACGTAACTCCCATCATGATTTCTTTGAAATTTTTTTAAACTAAACAATACAATGTATACAACACATTTACATTTGGTATAATTTAATTTCCTGTTAAAAATCTGTTTTTAAAACAACCAGTTGTGGGTAACATATCCTGATCCAGAACAACACAAAAACCTGTCAGCATCTACACCTATTGTTTCCTTCATTACGTCAGAATAAAAAGCACATTTCTCAGGTAATGCCTTTATCATAGTAAATGTTTCAGACATAAGGAGTCTTCATTCAAGTTTACCAGACTATTTCAAAGCACATGTGCAACAGGCAAAGACAATTCACTACAAATTAAGAGAACTAATTTCAATAACAATGAGTCCAAACATGTAGAAAGCCAAATTTCTTTAGATACCCGTAGGGAAAACAAACTGAAAAAGAACACATTAAAGAATGGGTGGGACTCAAGTGGAACCATGAATGACATATCTGACATTTCTTAGGATTTAAGTAATGAAATACATCATGTGTAAGATAGCTCACCTCTCCACAGATACCTGACCTCTCCACAGATACCTGACCTCTCCACAAATACTTTACCTCTCCACAGATACCATACCTCTCCACAGATACCTGACCTCTCCACAAATACTTTACCTCTCCACAGATACCTGACTTCTCCACAGACACCTGACCTCTCCACAAATACCTGACCTCTCCACAAATACCTGACATCTCCACAGATACCTGACCTCTCCACAGATACCTGACCTCTCTACAGATACCTTACCTCTCCACAGATACCTGACCTCTCCACAGAGTCCAGATAAGAGTGGACCTTACCTCTCCACAGATACCTTACCTGTCCACAGAGTCCAGATGAGAGTGGATTTTACCTCTCCACAGATACCTTACCTCTCCACAGAGACCAGATGAGAGTGGATTTTACCTCTCCACAGATACCTTACCTCTCCACAGAGACCAGATGAGAGTGGATTTTACCTCTCCACAGTCCAGATGAGAGTGGACCTTACCTCTCCACAGATACCTTACCTCTCCACAGATACCTTACCTCTCCACAAATACCTTACCTCTCCATGGATACCTTACCTCTCCACAGATACCTTACCTCTCCACAGATACCTGACCTCTCCACAGATACCTTACCTCTCCACAGATACCTTACCTCTCCACAGATACCTTACCTCTCCACAGATACCTTACCTCCCCACAGATACCTTACCTCTCAGATACCTTACCTCTCCACAGATACCTTACCTCTCCACAGATACCTTACCTCTCCACAGATACCTTACCTCTCCACATATACCTTACCTCTCCACATATACCTTACCTCTCCACAGAGTCCAGCTGAGAGTGGAACTCTCTCAGAAAGACAGAATCCATCTGGTTATTGTTTCTGTTCTCCATACGAATGATTGCAACATCATTCTTGTACTCCAGGGACAAGGCAGCTGCAGCTTGTGCTTGTCTGGTGTGACTTGTGGAGAGTCTCCTGCGTGTTTGTTTCAGGAAATGGTTAGTAATGTGAAAGAGACTTTGGCTGGGACTCAGTGTGAGGCAAGAGCCAAGAAGTAACTGCCTAATGACAGCAAAAGCCAGTGATCAAAGGTGATTTAAACAGATTATGAATTTTGTTGTTTTTCTTCTGGCTTTTTTTTTTTTAAAGTGGGTCTTTGTATGGCATCTGATTGGGATTGCTTCATATTCTCAAATTCCAGGTGAGTCTGATGTTACTGATATCTAGCATAACTCCACAGAACATGCATCAGAGATAGTGGTTGATATTGGGTGCGGGGGGGGGGGGGGGGGGGGGGGGGGTTAGTTTTTAAACTGATGTGACTGAACTACCACACAACAGTTGTCGGTACTACTGTTTTTGCTAACTCTCAATGTTGGGTGTCGTGAAAAAAAAATGACATCCCAAATTGTGATAATGACTCTGGTAGGGAACAGCACTGAGGTGGAAACTAGCCTTACTTATCCTAAGATGAGAAAATGCATCTGGAAAACAATTTTACAGCAGGGCAGACCAGGTCTATAGCCTAAGTTGGCAGCTGGTCTAGTAGGGAAGCTCTGACAGGCAGACATACAGAGCGTTACTCTTCTTAAACTGTAGCTTCTGCACAATGCTTTGTTTTAAATGTTACCTCTGCAGCAAACATGGCAGGCTGAGAGAAAAATCATGCTGCATGGGCAACAATTGATCTAAACAAATCTGCCCAGGTTGTGTGCTATGGAAAAGATGAACTTTATCTGTGGCCCTAATAGCCTCTGATTCCTGTGCCTCTTTATAACTAAAAATAACACTATCGTGTGGAAAGATGACAAGATGTCACTGAAAGTTTTCAGCCCTGATTATTTGTAGACCCTGATTCTCCCAAGGGATTGTAGCACCAGCTTTGGGAAACACTGATGCTGACAGACCAAGATTTAACTTTTTACATATTGACCACAGAAATTTCAATTTTGACCATTGCAGCCCAGTTTAAATAACTAATTCATCTTCTTTTGTCCACAGCCTGGTGTCTAAGGTCTTACTGATCATTTCTGAAACAGACAATAGTCAGTAGGTTAACTGATTGATCATCTTTATCACCCACAACACAAGTCCACAAGGGCTCAAATCCTGTCTTCACTATCTCCCTCAGTGTGTGGCAACTGATAACACAAGTTTTGTGTTGTTTTACTGTCCTGTGCCAATGAAATATCATTTAGAATCGCACTGCCATCTAGTGTCTTTTTTAAAGTGTCAAACATCTGAATGTCAAAGACACTCAGCAAACACAGAAAACTTAAGATCTGCAACTCTTGTGTGATTCCAGTACTAACTTATGGATGCGAGAGTTGGAGAGCAACTGCAGCTCTTGACAAAAATAAATTAGACAATTTTGAGAACAAATGTCTTAGAAGAGTACTGAATCTCCACTGGCCAGATTTCAGATCCAATACGCAAATAAGACAAGAGACCAAGCAAGAAAATGTATCAAAGTTTACAAGAAAATGCCACTGGAACTACATCTGCCATGCTCTTAGAATGGATAAGACAAGACTTCCCCATCAAGCCCATATATGGACACAGGAAGGGAACAGAAAATGGGTACGACCAAGATAGGACCTGCTTAGAACCATCATCAGGGAAGGCTCAACAAGAGTCTAATGAATTTCCAAGACCTAAATTTAGGGGGCAACGAACCGCCAGACATGGAGAGCTATGATTTCTGCCATATGCGCTTAAGAGGAAAGACCAACTAACTGCTCTTTGTTACTGCTTGTATTATGTTTATGTTTGGCAACACCTCTTTTGACCTGAAGTTTTTGCAGTCTTGTCAAGGATGTTGACTTTCATTCATTCTCCTCACTGCATGGTTTCCGGGGTCCTCATTTAGGCAGTGGGTTGGGGGAGGGGGGATAGACTTATGCTCACCTGAGCATGTAAAAGGCAACTAAAGAGTCAAGAGTTTACCGAAGTTAGATGTTTGACTAAAGTCAGATGTACTACAGCAAGGCTGTAAACCACAAAACAATGTGCTAACCACTATTCTGAATGGTGAACTTGAAATAAAAGATAAAGATTCCCATCTTAACTAAGGGACTGCCTCTCTAGGGCATTCAACTTTCTCACAAGTATACAGCAGAGAATATTCTAGACCCTGTTCAATGCTGCTTTTGCTTGTTCTATTCTATTATTAGTTTCTATAATATACATATGTGCCAGAACTTGAGTGCTCAGGCCTCTTCATTCAACCTGCAAGAGGCTCAAGCTGAGTTATCCCCCCCCCCCCCTTAATTGCAAGGGGGCTAGGTGGCCCCTTTAGGCAAAGGCCTACGTACAAATAATCTTTAAAACAATTTCAACATATATTTATTTACTACTCAGCAGTTTAAAAAATACAATAACTATTATTATGCTCTTAAACTAGGATAATGCTCCTGGTGCCTCTTTTGCTTAGACTTTTTGGGTATGTGGGTGAGTCTGCCCCTTCACCCAGCAATTCTGGCGTTGTGCTGCCCACTGATGAAATTGAATAGTTTAGGTGGTAATTTATCAGACTAAAGCACTAAAGCCACTTTGATAGTGCAGTTTGGAGAGCATTTTTCTGTGCGATTAACACTACTTCGTAATTCAGTGAAAGGCACTTTGTTTTCTTTATTTTAATTACTTTTTATTTTTGTATTCTTATAATTTTATCATTACAGTTGCAAAAGATTTTCTCTTAGGCTTAGGAAATGAGATGGTATGGCTAGCAATAAACTTACCGAAACCTCGAGTTGTGCATGAACAATCGACGTACAGCTCGTGGAAACAGCATTTGATTGATGACGTTTTCCAACAGACTCATTAAAATCTCATTTAGTCGAACGGTCGAAGACAAAACAAACAGTGCAAAGTTGAAAGACCAAAGGTCATGTCCTTATTCAAATTTCCGTGATCTATTTTTATCTGTTCTCTCTATGCTAATCGTCGTTAGCATTGAAGACCGAGTCACACATTGGCTGGCCGGTAGACGACTTCGTCTCAGTCAGGACCATATTATGTGGGTCTGTCAACTGTCTCATGTGATCACATCAACACTGCAGGAGTTCTCATATCTACTTGGTGGCCTGCAATGCTACGTCATTTGATATCGCGCACACAACGTTGTCATAATTATAACCTAATGCTGCCCCTTAGGATATGCTGATTGAACGTGCTAATTTTTTTAAGCAAAGCAACGGAGTGTAATGCTGTAAAGCGTCGCAGACATGGCTAATGATCGGTTTCCAGGATATTAGTAGTACATATTAATAAGGGAATCCAGCGCATTTGAGGAGACGGTTCGCTGTATAATCTATATCACGAAGGTGCTTATATAACCTATAATACTAAGGTACTTCTTTAATCTATATGCATCTACCTGTGCCAGCGGGAAGAAAGAAAATGAAAAATACAGAAAAAAGGAATTTTTAGGTTTTCATCATCATCAATTTCCACTTTTGCCGTTATTGCTCGACGGAGAGCAATGATTAGACGGTAAGCTATGCGCCGTGAGGTGGAATAGTTTTTGATCAATTGAAGTGTCGTAGAGAGGAGTAGATTTTGATCAACTGAAGTGTCGTAGAGAGGAATAGATTTTGATCAATTGAAGTGTCTTAGAGAGGAGTAGATTTTGTTCCATTATTTGAGCGTCTTGAGGAGGAGTAATAAATAGGACGTTGCTAAAATCGGATGTGTATGGATAAACGGCGCATATAGAAGATTACCTACCCGTGCCATAACCATTGAGTATCTCGCCGCGGCCATCGCAACCTAGCTGGAAACCACAAGACCGCGAGAGCAGTGCAAACAGCGCAGCCTAGCTGTAAACTACAACGCAAGGTGCCGACCGTCTTTTTAAGGGCTAAAAAATATCTCTCCCTCAGGATTTGAACACCGGTTACCCACGCGACAGGCGGAATATTTACAATTATATTAACGAGGAATCGAGAGGTTGGTTCCCATGAAATTATATAATAACGCGAAACATAGTTCGTAGTGTTCCATTGATTTAACTATAGGACCTCTTGAGGTCCTGCATGGGGCCTTTTTTAACTTTGAATAATTTGGGACCGGTTTTTAGAACTGTTAATTGTTCCCCGCTAAACAGCAAAAACAGAACAAGTAAAAAAAAAAAAAAAAAGACACGGAGTTCTTCTCTGCAGGAGTCCTGGAATATTTCATCAAGACCCAGACAAGCGATATCTGAGAAACTCTATGTAAAACACAAGATGGCTACACATACCTAGACGAACCACGTGTACGGAATACAGATCCTAAATTGAATCAATCAAATGAATTATAATCATCACATTAGGCAGCTGTTTATTTTACTAAACTCAATACAACATTAATATGTTCTTTACAAATAATACATTAACAACAACCAACATGCTCGACCAAAATCTAAAGTGCTAATCATCTCCAGCTAACAAAGAAATATGATAATGAACGCATACGGTCAGAAAAATCACCTCAACAATAGCAAAAACTAAAACATTTTGCCATGAATGTTAAGCTTCAGTATGTTACCAGACCAGTAAATCACCTTTAGCGACCTGCAGCCAAATTATCTTTGAGCGAGGATACACACTGACATATCTACCCACTCAGTTTAACTACTAGACACAAATTCAGATTTAACTATGGAGACATACCACCACCATGAAATCAGCCAGGCAACAGGTCATCCCCCGCTTTCTCCACTCCTGATACATTCTTAGAAGTCATCGCTGTTCGTGGGATTGAAATCCCTGACCATTTCACTTATCCGTATCTTACTACACACGACTTTGACTTTTCTCTTTATTAAGGACTCTTTGCCTTCAGCCTCAAAGTCAACAAAGTATTAAGAAAAACATGTTCCCCTGTCTTATTCTGTCGCTTCCAGTATCCCCGAAAAACCTGCCTTCTTCTAAGGGGAACCCACAACTCTTAGTAGACGAAATGCTCGGCTATCTCCTCGAAATCTCGAATGCCTCCTATAATCTTCTTAGAAAACAGTTCTCTGGTGTTTGTGATCAGTTGAAAGTGTTAGATGAGGAAAATTTTTAAAAAATTTAGACAGGCTATTTACATGAACTCCCAGTTTTCGGTTTCCATTCTAGAAACTACGATCTGAACTTGATCAAACCCTTTCTTGTTAACTATTTTGTCTCCAAAAACTCAGTCTGCTTTCAACTTTGACGTCATGAGAAACAACTTTATGTGTCTCTCAATCGATAACTTCAAATTTCTACACATCTGCAACTATCTGCCCCTGGGGTTAGGCTATAGCAAATACTTAGCAGCTTATGATCGGAAAGAGACCAGGTTTTTTTTTCTGCTACGATTACATCGAAAACATTAGTCAGATGAACCGGCTCTACCTCCTCACTCTACCTTTTTCTTTTCTCTAACAAATAGTAATATAACAAATCAGCATTACGCCGACTGCCAACACGTATGGACAGAAACCCAAATGACTAATTTGAAAGACTTTCTAAGGTGGTATAATAAAAAAAAGTTGTAGTTCCTTTTGTAGAAGCCTTATCCAAACAGCCTGCTCTTTATGCTGCCTTGGGAGTTTATCTTTTCAAACATACTACCTATGTGCCAGAAGTGTACTTAACTCTTTAAAGGCGTATCGCCAGTATACTGGCAAATAAATTTATTCCTAATGGATGTATAGCTAGTATATTGGCGCATGATAGAGACACTCTAATTTTTTTCCGTTTGGTAGGAAAACGAAATTGTATGAACAAGTTTTTAAACAATTAGGATTAACAACAGGAAGTCCTTTCTATTGCAAAGTTCATTGTGGTCGGTGAATTATTTTCTGATTTTTAAAAAGATTATTTAGATGGGATACAATTTTTACGTAATTTTTCTATACTAAATCAAAATGAAAATGTCTAGAACTGTTCATACTGCTCTGTCGTTGAGGAATCTCTGCAAGATGGTGACAACAGTCTAGATATTATGATTGAAATCTAAGTGACAAACCTATTGGCGATTATTTAGTTTAGGATATGAACACTGAACAAAATATTTCAATTGGATCAATGTTTCGATCAGTTGTTTTCACGATTTTCGGTTGTTGTAAAATGTGACATGTCTAAAAAAAATGATTATAACATCTAAAGAATTTAAATGAATTGTTTCAAATAAAGACTAGATGATACGGAATTAAACATAGAAAGCACGTGCATACTTAGAATTGGATAGCAGTGTTGTTAAGGCAGTTAAGCAAGTGAAAACGTGAGGTAAGCAATCAAAAAAAAAAATATAATAATAATAATAATGTCAAGGATCTTTACATGTGTCCTTGAATGTTGTGTGATTTTAATAAAATTTTGTTGTAATACTGACATTTTAATAGTAAAGATTTATTCGGCACTCGTTTATTTTTAATTTGATATCTAATATGTCCTGATACTGCCAATATTTTTTTTCAAGAAGGTTTTAGCTTTGTTGTGTTGCAGTAAAAACAATTCCGCTCAAAATTAATGCTGTCCCAGAAAAAAATGTGATCCTGAAAGAGTTAAAGTCCTTTTTCGAAACTATTCCTAGTAATGTGCCATTTACTCTATGCAGTAAAAATATAGTAGATCTCCACACCACCCTTAGAGATAATATAGTTGGCAGCCTATCTATAATATTTAGCCAACACTATAAAGAGAGCCAAAACCATTTTAGAGGGGGTGGGGCAGTGCATGGCATCAAATGCTATGATGCCAATGCCATTTAACTTTGAGCGAATACACATCAGATGCCCACAGATTTCCCTATCATTAAGGGGGGGAAAAGAAAACGGTTTCAAATTTTTCAGAGCTTACAAATATAGATACCAGAGTAGGGAATGCTTAGGTTGGGTGTCCTATGGTCTCAACAAGGAACTCAAACCTAAATTCAATAGTCAGGAGATTTGCTGGGTGATCGCCATATCCGGGTTGATGTGTGGGATAGAGAAACTCGGACAGTGTACCAGTTTCATGGCTGTATTTTTCACTGTTACCCACACTGTCCCCTCATCCAAGGAATAGAGGTAAACCCTGCAAATAAGAAACATTTTGTCTATTTGTACGAGGAGACCGAATAGATTAATCAGTATATCCGGGTGGAGGTGGGGGTTTCGTTAGTAGAGATATGGGAGTGTGAGTGGAGCCATTTGAAAAAGTCTAGCTCAGTTCCTGTGCACTATTTTCCCACAGCGCACCCCTTCTTGGGGTAAAGGGTCTATCACTGAAGAAAAAAATTTTAGCCGCTGTCCTTGGGGACAATTTCTTTAGGCTGGTAGATTGTGACATTGTGATCCTTGACGCTTTAAAAGACAAGCTTTCTGAAATAACGCCCATCTTTAAAAATATAGTAGGTAAAGACGATATAGGTGTTCTAAAAGTAAATATGCAGTAGACATTAATTTGTTGGCGAGCTCCCGACGAACATTAGTGGGGAGTTATGTCTGTAAAAGCTGCGTCTGTGGCTTAGGCGTTGCGAGTCCGAGTCTCAACTCCAATGTACTGTGATCAAAACCGACTGCTGGCTGAGTGGATTTTTATCATGGTAAAAGATGTCGCAGGTCGAACCAGCCTAAAATGTTTACAACGATATATGTCTTGTGGAAGTAAAGGTGACAAGTGTAATGCTGACCACATTACCCACCTAGTGCCGATTTGTCTGTAAACAATGTGGGTGCTCTTCCCATCTGCGCATAAGGCGTGCAAATGAACCTTTACTTACTTTACTTATGTGGGTAAAAAGATTATGTTAGCGGCACCATTTTTTAAAGTGATTTTGACCGAAAAACTGGTAGTGACTAAAATTTACCAAATTATAGAGTACCACCCTGTA